TCGAATGGGAAGTTAAATGGAAATTGAGAGATGGAGAAGGCCCCAACTAGTTGGTTAACAAAGTTGCCCAATAAAGCATACCAAAATATGCAAGAGCAGAATATGAAAACGAACTACGGGATTGGATCAATCGTAAATGGTTAATTGAATATGACAAAAATAAGATGGGACCATCCAAAGGGAAAATTCCCTTAATGGCTGTTATTCAACGAAATAAAGATAATAAAGTCAGACCCGTTTTGAACTGGAGAGAAGCTAACAGTTTTATTGAAACCTATACAAGAGATGCAGATATGTGTGTTGAGAAGCTGAGGAAATAGAGAAGAATGGGGGAAAAAGCAGCAATAATTGATTTACGCAAGGCTTATTTCCAAATAAAAACTGAAGAATCTTCTTATCCATTCCAAACAGTGGTTTTTCAAAACAAAAGGTGTTGTTTGACACGACTTGGTTTCGGATTAAACGTTGTTCCAATGATCATGAAATCTGTTGTGAGTGCCATTATTGATCAAGATGAATTGGTGAAGAGAGGAGCATCCGCTTACGTGGACAATATTTTTGTCAATGAGGAAGTAGTCTTGATTATGTCAAAAGACATTTTGAAAAATATGGTTTAGAGAGTAAAGAAGGTGAACAGATTGGATGTAACGGGGTTCGTATTTTGGGATTACGTGTGTACAAGGTTGGTGGCAAGTCGACCTGGTCCAGGGAGAATTAAGTCAACGCAATGCTGAAAAAGTTAAGTAGAAGAGTAGTGTTTTCCGTTTATGGGCAGTTGGTAGGTCATTTACCAGTATGTGGTTGATTACGTGCAGTTTGTAGTCTTTCGAAAAGAAGAGTGGTTAGTTTGACAAAGGGTTGGAACGGTGAAGTTTGCGATAAAAATTTAAAGCGTGTACTTCAAGAGGTTTATGATGAGGTTGCAAAATGCGATCCAGCTTATGGTGATTGGGCTGTACATGGTGATGGGGGGAATGTGTAGATTGTTAAAACTAATGTAGAAGATGCAACATGGCTACGAAAAGAAAGGTCTGAGGATCACATAAATATGGCGGAGCTGGATGCTGTAATGCGAGGAATGAATATGGCTTTAACTTGGAAATTAAAGAAAGTGACTATCTTCACAGATTCCGTGACAGTGTTCTACTGGGTTTCTGACGCTCTCACTGGTAAGTCAAGATTGAAATCAAAATCAATGGGCGAAATGTTGATTCGAAGAAGATTAAGCTTTCTGCAACAATGTATTGAAGAATATGGTATTAATGTGAATGTAAAATTTGTTCCTTCTAAAGACAACTTAGCTGACGTATTGACTAGAGTTCGAAGTAGATGGTTGAATAAATTGACGGAGGCTAAACATTCAAGTAATTCCGTTGGAGCAGTATTTGCAGAGACTGAAACCATTTTTAGCATACACAAGAGAACTGAACACTTTGGAGTGAATCGCACTCTAAACTTTGTTCTTAAAGTAATTCCAACCGCTACCGAAAATGACGTTAGAGAGGTAATTAAAAATTGCGAACGTATGTCAGTCAATAGATCCAGCACCTGTACAATGGGAGAAGGGAAAACTGAGCCTTAATGAAAATTGGGAAAGAGTGGCCATTGATATCACACATTTTAGCACAGAAAATTTTTTATCTCTGGTTGATTGTGGACCTGCAAGATACGCAGTGTGGCAACAACTTTCAAGTTCATACGGAAGTATTGCCATTACTCGAATACTCCGCCTTATCTTTTGCGAGCGTCGAGCAACATCTGAAATTTTGACAGATAACGAAGCAACTTTTAAAACTGAGGAGTTGAGAAGTTTTCTTGATGGTTGGGGAGTGCGCATTAGGTTTCGAGCTGCTTAATATGCCGAAGGAAATGGAATTGTGGAAAGAAATCATCGTACAATTAAGAGAAAGGTCAAAAATGTTAATACCAGAAGCAGTGTATTGGTACAACGTCTCAGCTAACAAAAATGCAAGCCCGATGGAGAAAATATACAGGTATCGAAGTGATGTGAAAGGATTGAGAAAAGATAATCTTCTGACAAAAGCTGACACAAATGAAGTGTTTAAAAATGGTGATAAAGTTTGGTTGAAACCGTCAAATGCAAAGTGCCGCACCAAGTGGCAGCCAGAAAAACTAACGGGAAATATTTCGAAACAAGTTGTCAAAGTTAATGGCGTTATGCGTCACGTAAAACATATCCGATATCGAAATAACATTCAACCATGCGATATTCCTAAAGTGAACGCAGACAGTGGTCAAGACAACGCGGCAAACCACGGTGAGCAAATTAAAAATGTGTTGCAGATAAGCAAAGGAGACGTATTACAAGGAAATGGTGAAGCCATAATGGATTCCAAGGAACCGTGCCTTTGCCACGAAGTACTCGAGAACGACGCATGCCCCAAAAATACGACGATTATTATTTGTATGATCCGTAAGGACCAAGGAGGAGTGTAAATAAAGTGGGGAAAGTTCTAGAACATTCTACGACAAATACCTGGTTTCTTTTACTTATAGTTTTTAATTATTTTAATTGTAGTTATGTATTAACCGGTTTTTGTAATGTTGATTTTGTGGGTAGATATATTATATAAATGGATGTAAAACTTTTGTAACATGAGTTGAATTCAAATTAATAAATAAATTTTTGGAAAGAACCTTTTTCAACCTATTGCACCTCCTAACATCAAGTGCAATCCTGTTCGCTTTCTCTATGCTATCTTTCTAACACGACTACTTCTGTCTTTCACTCTAACATATCTTCGTTCTTCCTAAACTCACTTTACTCTTGGCCCGTAGAGCGGTTTATGACGCTCCTTGGGGAGCCGAACCTGTCTTTGAGGGCCTTGGTAATGTGGCCTCTATATGGCAATTAGCTGGTGGAGGATAAACCACAATACCAATTTTTGGAAAGGAAAGAAGTTTTGTTTCGAGCGAGAAAACTACAGTTAAGAAGATAGTCCAAAACATATTTGGTAAAAGATGGCCTACTTTTTACTACGATAAAAAAAAGAAACATGGATTTGCTAGTAGCTCTAAGTTACAGGGTTATTCATTTTTATATGCGTGTCTATTCATTTTTATACGCGCCTTTATTCATTCTTATATGCGCATTTATTCATTTTTATATGCGCCTTTATTCATTCTTATATGCGCATTTATTCATTTTTATATGCGCATTTATTTATTCTTATATGCGCATTTATTCATTCTTATATGCGCATTTATTCATTTTTATATGCGCCTTTATTCATTTTTATATGCGTTTTACAAAAGCAATTGTAAAAAAGCAATTTGAACAAAAAAAAAAATCATTTAAGCAATTTGTTTTGATAAAACAGTTTATTTTTTCAAAACAAATTTTTCTTATTTCCAGGTAAACGAGGTTAAAATACTTAAAACGAAGACTTTTTACATTCGAAGATGGTTTATTTAATTTAGTATTAGTTCTTTGTTTTCGATGCTAGTTTATTTAATTTAGAATTAGTTCTTTGTAATTTTATTATTAATTTTCTTGATTGATTAAGTTATTATTTATCTAATTATTCATTTATCTAGATTTAAATTTAATTATTTATAATTATTATGAATATCATCCCTATGGATGGAATAGAAAATAGCAGTACCAATCGTAAAACAAAGGAAAATGTTACAAAAGAGCACATTAAATCCAGTTTCATGGAAAAATGAATAAATGCGCATATAAGAATGTATAAAGGCGCATATAAAAATGAATAAACCTGTAAAAAACTATTATTCACGAAGGCTGTCATTCTGCAATTCTTGGTGGTGGTCTTTTTGGTCGAGATAAAATATTAGAAAAACTCTCAGAGAGGTACTACTAGGAAGGGATGGTAAATGATGCGAAGAATTTTTGTAAATATTGTGATAAATGTCAAAGAGCAAACAGGTATGTTTGTTAAATAACTTATTTTTTATATACTAAAGTTTATTATTTAATAATTACTTAAAACAATAATAGCAATAATAATTGTAATTTTTAATACTACAGCTATTTTTAATAATCCTTATAGGTATTATTAATAACTAGCAAAAAGCAACCCGTAATACGTGTTTTGGTCGGTCTGTTACATTATTAATTTATAGTGGCTGTTTTCCACAATTTAATGTTGCGAAACCTTAACTAATACCTTTTTAGAAAATCGCATTCAGCTTGAAAAAATTAATCCATCTGTAAAATTATTATAAAATGTATGAAGAGGTAAAATAATTTACCAACTACTACTTAACATTTACAATTACTACTTAACATTATTTAAGTAATTTACAAATGGCATAGGTCATAACAGTGTAAAGCAGAACCATTTTCATCGACCTTCCTACGTTTAGCACAATACGTTTTTAGTTACTGACACAAAATAATAACACTTGATCATGCTTTAAATTGACGAAAGTATCAACTAAATCCTTGTAATAATTTTTGTAATACGAACCATTAAAATTAAAATGAAGTTAACAGAAGTTATCAATTTTTTGGTATCCCCTTGATTTATTGTTCTTTAGAAAAGAAAATTGTTAACTTAAACATGTTAAATGCACATATTTAAATAAATTTATTAAAAATAACAAAGTTTATTATAAATAACTACGCAACTGAGTACAAATACCTTTCAAACGAAAAAATTTAATTTACGATCAAACAAATGTATATGTTATTCTCTTGGTCTAACATCAGAACAAACCTTAGAAGCTGTCCAAAAGAACATTAATAAGATTATCAAAGGGTTTAGTGTCTCGGAAAGTAATCCTTCTCATGGAACAAAACTGAAAACATTTTGAAATAACAGACTTAAAGGTTGTCGAGCAGGGACATTTTGTTGCGTTTTCCAGGACATTTTATATCTTATTAAATGAATATTATCAGTTATCTTTACGTTATATTTTTTTCATATTGATTATAAGGGTATAACAAATTTTTTAATGCATTAATGCATCATGCGACAAACCTAAAATAAAAATTATAAGAGATAACGCGACGTTAGAATTATCTTGTGCTATCTCCAATTTTTGAAAAAATTGAGATTTTATTATTTTCGAATATTTTAGCATTGTGTTGTTCTACTTTAATTATATTGAAAAAAAATGAAACTTTTAACACGGTATTGCAAGCAATATTGCATTGTTCTATCTCCTTAATGAGCAAACTTGAAAATATTATCTTGTTCTATCTCCAATCAACCAATCATATTACAGTTACAAAGTTGTTCGGAATAATTTTATCAGTTTTGTTGTTTTCAAAATGGCAACTGCAAATATTGACCAAGAAATGGAACCTGCCCTAAATCAAAACGAAGGTAGTTTTTCAACTTAATTTGTATTATAATTTTGGAAAAGTAGAAATTCGACTTTCGCTTGTGCCATTTTAGATTAAATTTAAAAGTTATTATTTATACATCCTGGATAATAAAAAATTAATATTTTAATCGTTAGAGCTGCTTGGCATTACACCTTCTCGTCAATCGCCCCATGGTGGGGTTTCTAGGAAACGTAAAGCTGATAGGAGTAGTTGGAAACAAAGTGTAAGAAAAATCCAACGTCAGTCGGGTAAAGCTTATAAAAATACGAAAGGAACAAATTCCAAAAAGATCTATTGTTGCACTAAAAAGTTGCAGAAATTGTAAATTTAAATGTTCTACCAATATATCTGAGATTGAGCGTCAAATAATATTTGATAACTTTTGGACCTTAGATGATGACGGAAAAAAACATTTCTATTCTAAAACTACTGAAAATCTGGAGAAAAAACGCTGTCGGACAGCTGCTGGTGACAATTCAAGAAGAAAAACATCTTATTATTATAGCTTTTTTGTTTCTAATACACAATATAGAGTTTGTAAATCATATTATCTTTCAATATTGAATATTAGCAGCCATAGAGTGTTTTACTTTCATAAGTTTAATAAATCTTTAACTACTGGAACACCATTGCAATCAAAATCAGGGAAACATGTTAAAAAAAGGTTACTAGAAGAGTCTAAACAAGTTGTACGAGACCATATTAACCTTTTCCCAAGAATTGATGCTCATTATAGCAGGAAAAAGACACATAAAGAATACATGGAAGGATCACTAAATATAGGTAGAATGTATGATCTTTATAAAATATATTGTGATGAAAATGTTTCTCCTCCAGCAAAAGAACATATGTATCGTTATATCTTTAATCACGAGTTCAATATAGAATTTCAAAAAACGAAGAAAGATTTATGTGACACATGCTATGAGTATCGCAACATTGTTAATGCAAGCAATGAACAAACAGATTGTTATAATAAGCACATAAAATCAAGGAATGATACCAAAACTGAACGTGAAAATGATCGCCAAAATGTTGATTCTAAAACTGCAATTGTTTGTATTGACCTTGAAAATGTTTTAAATTTGCCTAGAGCTAATGTGGGAAACTTTTATTACAAACGAAAACTTTCAAATTATAACTTAACTGGTCATTGCTCGCTTAACAGGAAGGGTTATTGCATCCTTTGGCACGAAGCCATGACTGGTCGTGGAGGAAATGATCTAGCCAGTGCTGTAACATGTTTGCTTTTGAAAATCATGGCTGACCTTGACATAAATAAGTTCATACTTTGGTTTGATTCATGTGTACCACAAAACCGCAATAGTTTCATGTCAGCAGCTTTGTGTGAATTTATAATACGATACCCACAAATAAAAGTAATTGAACAGAAGTTCTGCGAGCCAGGTCATTCCAGCATTCAAGAATGTGACAACATTCATAGTCAGATTGAAAAATCCCTCTCTGCTGCAGAAATATTTAGTCCACTTGGGCTAGAAAAAGCTATTAAAAATGTAAACCGTAAAAAACCTTTCTGTGTTTACCAAATGCAATTAGGAGATGTAAAGAATTTTTCAGTTGTCGCTGGTTTGTCAAGTTATAAGTTAGTGCCTTATTCAAAGGTTAAAAATCTTGTTTATCGAAACGGACTGCCATACCATGTTTTTTTTAAAACCTTGTTTTCAGATAATTATTCACAAGCTCGGATAAATAAGTCTGTCAAGAAAGCAGCATCAACCATTGTTGCAAAACCATTAAATACCAATATACCAATGGCAGCTTGCTTTCGTGCTTCTTATCAGTCTATATCTGTTGCAAAAGCCAATGATATCATTTCCATGTATTCATACATGCCTGCTGTTGATATTGCATTTTATAAAACAATAATAAACTGAACATTTACAAAACATTAATAAAGTCAAAATATTTTTAGGGTTGTTATAGGTTTAGTATAAATATAAATAACATATTTATATATACATAATAATATAAATAATATACATATAAATAACATATTTAAATAAAATATTTATTTAGTATAAATATAAATATAAAACACATTGAAATAATATTATTTTGAAGTCTTGATAAAATTTTTTGTTTAGCTTGTGTTTTTTTTGTTTGTTTTTTTGTACTTTTATATTCATTTTCCCCCACTTGTTTGGTTTGGATGGTTTTCCATAGTGACATAAAGGCCACTATCAAAGAGTTAAAGCAATGTTTCACAACCTGATGCCCTTCCTGACGTTAACTTGAGTAACAATTTTTTATTTGTAAATATTTGCAATAACTTTTAATAAAAAGTTAAACTCTATTAATGGATACACAGGCATAAGAAAAATAAAATCAAGTTCATCTTGCATGGAGTTTGTGATTAGATTAGTTGAATTGTTGTGAATTATCAGATAGTTACATAATGTTATTTCTTTTATTATTACATTTTTTTTAACATAACTCTTTCAAATATACCTTTCATAATTTATTTTATACGTTTATATTATATTAATACGTTTATATTATTATTACGCAGCCAAATTTTCCGTTTTAAATTAGACGTCTTAGTCTTGTCCAGGGCCGGCGTCTACAGGTAATTAAAGTAAATGTAAGTCGTAAGAACAGTGTCGTTAGAGGCTCTTCTAAAAATTCTCCAAATTAGGGCCTCATTTTATTTAAAAAATTTTTTTAGGTAAAACAAAAAGCGTCTTATATTTTGAAAAGGGTCCCGTTAAATTAGGGGCCCATGCCCCTAATTTAGGGGCCCATGCCCATAAATTAGGAGTGTATGGTACTGCGTAAGAATAATTAGCAGGTAGAACAAAATTTCATCAATTTCTAACATGTCGTTGTTGAAAAATGTACTTAATATGTTTAATATATATGATGTAACAACATAATATTTTTGAATTTTACTAAAAAACAAAGTTATTTTGTTCTATCTCCAAAAGAGGGTGCGAAATAAAGGGCGTTAGCGTAATTTTAAAAAGTTTTTTTTATCTAAAAATTAATAATAAAACATTTTTAAATCTTAGGAAATACCTAAATTCTCAAAATATTTTTTCAATTTAGCTGCGAACAAATTCAAACTTTGACATCGATTTTCTCAGTTTGCAAAAACATGGAGATAGCACAAGATAATTCTAACGTCGCGATAAGTAGACATAAAAGTTTGTAAACCAAGCTGACCCGACCGGGTTTTGTTAAGTCTGTTCAACACAGATCATTTCTATATTATTTGTTCTTTTTCTGCCTCTTTATTTCATTAATTTTTTAGTAAACGGTAATTTGCCACCATTTACTAAAAATTCCTTTTGTAACTCGAAATTTAATTTTCATAAACATTTTGACTCGAATAAAGAGATTCCTCCCCTCTTTTTGCTTTAATGGTGTAAGGTGAATAAAATAAAATAATAAAATGTAAAACAATGATCTATATATATATATATAAGAATGTTTTCTTTCTTTCCTCAAAAGTGTTGCAAATACAGACTAAGCTAACTAATTATTAGTTAAACACATAAATAAAACTTAAGTAACTCGATATTAATGCGCTAAACTACAATATTCTCCATGTTTTTAAAGGTTTTCAGTTAAGACCCCCTATTTACAAAAATCCCCTTAAAATACGTACAACAAATTATTAGGCATAAAATAGATAAAATATAAAATTAACTAATAGCATATATTTATATTTTTTTTAACTAACAAAAATTTACAATAAAAAGAAATCAGGTTTTTTTTATTTTATAAATCTTACAAATACGTACAACATATTAATTAGGCATAAAATAGATAAAATATAAAATTAACTAATAGCATATATTTATATCTTTTTAACTAACAAAAATTTACAATAAAAAAAAATCAGGTTATTTTATTTTATAAATCCTACAAATACGTCATAACGTTATTCTAAAATAAAAAAGTAATGAAAATATGATATCATAATTACAAAAAAAAAATAAAAAAAAACCACCACACAAATACCAAAAATCGATTTACCAATTTATATTAACCTATTTTTAAATTGCAGTCAAGGATTTATCGAAAATGTAACTATAAAACCTGTTTTCGAAGTACCAAAGCATTAACAATACTAAAAAAATATCAAACTAAGATATAAATCGTTGTTTTGGCTTTTATAATTTAAGCATATATACAACTATAAACAAATATGACTTTATGTAACACGTATAAACGCATTTTACAACTATTGAATGATTGATATATTTACCAAAAACTATGAAAAATAAATAAATAATGATAAATAAAGTTATACATACAAAATGTGCTCAAAAACTTTAACAGTAAATTTTCGAAATGAAAATCTAAAGACTATAAATTAAGAATATTAAAAAATATAACAATATTTATGTTACATTTTTTTACCTACTATACCTTGAATAAGATGTTTATCAATTTTGAAAAACAAACTATTAAATGCTATAGTTCTTGAAAATGCAGCGTATAGTTGACCATGAGAGAAACACGGTTTTTGAGATATTTCTTTTGTCTATATGTTTAATTTCGCGTTACGTAATACATGGTGGCCACAAAAATCTAAAAGTTAAATTCCAGGACATTTTGTTGCGTTTTCCAGGACACTTTATATCTTGTTAAATGAATATTATCAATTATCTTTACGTTATATTTTTTTCATATTGATTGAATTATAGAATAGAATATTATATTATTATATTATTATTACTATCTTATTTAAAATTAATTTCAAACCATTTATATAAAAAAAAATTTTGCATAAAAAATTTAATATTACTTCAATATTATTAGTAATTTTTTAACTTGATTCAGAAAAAAAAAAGTTCCAGGACATTTCAGGTCATTTTTCAAAAAAATGTAATTTTCCAGGACATTCCAAGACTGTGGCCACCATGGTAATATATAGACGATCCCTATAAAAAAATACTTGAAACTAAAAGATTTTATTTATTACAATATATGAACAACCAAGGGACAATTTAAAGAATTATATCTTTAAATAGCAAAATATCAATCGCAGTATTAAAAAATACGCAAGAGCTCAGTATTTACAGAGCTTAATCAAAGCTCAGTAATTACAGAGTTAAATCAATTCTCTCTCTACAATTCTCAATACTAATTCTTATTTAAGTCTCATCTAAGAGAGAGAGAGGAAGTTTTTTAAAAACAGCATGTTAGAAAAAGTAAAAAAGTCATGCAATAAATAACAGTAACTGGTTTTATTATGCTACCAATAAACAAAATTATTTTTACCTTAACTAAAAGTTAATTTACAGCATTTCTTAATTAAGTTCCAGCTTCTCTCTAACTGTTGACAAATAATTAATATTGTAAATTTCACATCATATTAAATTAACAAAATTAAAACCATGTTTCAACAGTAAGCAAAATAATCAAGTGATGACAAAGACAACTAAAAAAAAAAATGAACACAATTATGTTTAAGTCATTTAAAATTGAAACTGTTATTATTTGTTTCTATAAATAGTAAAATTCATACTTTGCTTTATTTTAAAGAGTCTAATGTAAAGTGAAATAATAGACATCAACATCGCTTGACATCTATTTCTTTTATATGACAACAATTTCAAGTCACCTATAACCATTTACACTAATAACTTCTTCGAGCCTAATATTATACATCTATTATCATTAAATATATATTACCAGTGATTATACTACTGTTACAACTGAATAAATGAACGTTTTATATTTTTACAACTGAAAAATATAAAACAAAATTTATTACATTATTTTAATTTAGCAAAGAATTTAGAACACAATGGAAAGTTATTTGCACTGTGTTCTAAATTCTTTGCTAAATTAAGAAAGCCTTCAGGCACATTCTTTTATGTATATAAACTTTATGTATGCACATTTATGTATATAAACTTACCTGTCAAAAATTACAGTCAGTTTTCCATATTAAATACATAAAATATATATCTAATATAAAATTAAACAAAACATTAATCTTACTCAAATCAGTAAGTTCGACTGTCTAAATATTTTTATTATTAACCCTTCTATTTAAAAAATGAAACAATTGTTTTGAAGTGACTAAAAAGCACTTTAGCTTTTTCCATTTGCACTAAAAAATAAAATAAATCTTGCTTTGCTAAGTTGCCTAGTTCTTAAGAATCTGAAAACAAATAAGTAAAAAACCAAGAACAAACAAACATTTATTTACTAAAACTACTCTATTTAAACAAATTAAATTAAACAGAGAACAACATTGATACTCCTTGAAAGCTGAAAAACCTTTTAGCTCAAATTTGCTTGCAGACCTTGCTTACAAAACCACTTGAATAAGAAAAGCATCAAAAAAGCCTAGAAGCTACTTAAAAATGGAAAGAGTTAAAGTGCTTTTTAGTCACTTCAAATCAATTGTTTCTTTTTTTAAATAGAAGGGTTAATAATAAAAATATTTAGACAGTCGAACTTATATGCAACATTGAACTTTAAATGTTGATTGGAGTAGATATTTTTAAAAAATTCAAAATGATTTGTTCTTCTATAGCAAATAAATACACCATAAATCTGAAGTTAAAAATGTAACGAATAAGTAACTACAAAGAAAAATATCATATGTGAATTGAAAATCAATGTACCTAATAGAGATTAGCTGTTGTGATACCTGAGTAGTATTGCTAAATATTATTTTTTCATGATAAACAAATTGTATTTATAACGAAATGATGTCTTGAATGAATTTTGGTGAATAAATAAAAGCAGTGAGTTCTAGTAATAAAACTACCTATTAATCATTTTTAACAGCTGACACCAATGTAAAGATAAGCCAAAGGTAACAATATAACGCAAAAAATTATTAAAGATAATGCAATGTGTTTTCAGAACAGTTATATTAAAGGCTAGGCAACACTTAGACCAAAAGCAGTAACATCACTTGACTGGTAAGGTTGATAAATCTTGCTCTACGCGTTAGCTAAATCACTCCACTTTGAAATCATGGAAACAACATTACATAAACATATATAATAAAAAAAAAAAATTCTCAAAACAAATATATAAAGAATCCAAATTAATGCAAAATAAAATTAATTTGCCATCGTCAAAAGTAATACAGGTTTCTTAAGTTTATTTGATAAAAGTTAAGAAAAACCTGCAACCATATTAGCAAAAACTTATTAAAAAAAGTTAAAATTTATTTTGTTTCTGATAAAGAAAAAAAAATTTAGAAACAAACAACATATTTTCGCAGACAGCGCCATAAGGCATGCGTTGGGAGAAAACATTGAACAAAACGGGTAATAAAACTTATTAACACGTTATGTACAATAGAAAACAGGTTATTAACGCAGGTTTATAAATTTTTTTTCCCCCAACACACTATTATGCTGCCGCAACTCCAAGGATATACATAGTTATATATATATATATATATATATATATATATATATATATATATATATATATATATATATATATATATATATATATATATATATATATATATATATATATATATATATATATATATATATATATATATATATATATATATATATATATATATATATATATATATATATATATATATATATAGAACTATTTATTAACGAAAACATATGAAAACCAAAATTTTTATATAATATATTTAGTAAATTTGATAAATAAACCTCTACAATTTCTTTGGTTCAACAACTTGATTATGATTAATAAAAACTCTGTAAATATAAATTTTCTAATGATCTAAATCTTTATAAATTAGATATTTTATTTTATATCTTAATTATAATTTAAATAAATTATATTTATCTTAACTATAATTTAAATCTTTATAAATTAGATATAAATAGAAAAACAAACATATAATAACACAATTATATCCTAAACCAAAATTCAATCATGCAAAGCAAATTATTAAATTTTTTGAAAAGAAAAAAAAACATAACTTTTTTCAAAGAGCAAAGTATTAACAATACTATAGATAAATTTTATTTATAACAAAATGTTGTCATGGCTTTTATCCCAATTATTAAAAGCATTTTAAAGCATGAAACTACCCATAAATATCTTTTAATGGTAGACACTATCTAAGAATTCAATATTAACATGTATAACACGAAGCTTTAAATTTAAAAGTACAATTTAAAAAAGATTACAATAAACTAATTACTTATAAAATTTTAAAAAGATTTTATATATACTCAATGTCTACTTGAACATTTTGAAAAGATTACGATTTTGAAAACTTGAAACTTTAATTTTTCCTCAAAGAAAACAGAAATATATTGAAAAGTATTTTTATTTCTTTTTAAAAATTTAAAAACGCTTTAAACTTACTCCCTCCAATATTATTATATAATATATATAGTATATATAATAAAAAACCTCCACAATTTTCTTGGTTTAACAACTCGATTATGATAAATAACAACTCTGTAAACATGAATTTTCTAATAACCTCAATAAATTATAAACAATTAAACTTAAATAAAAGTGTATGCAAATGATAAATGCTATATTAAATCTAGAAAGACAAACATAAAATAACACAATTAAATCCTAAACCAAAATTCATTAATGCAAGACAAATTATTATATATTTATTGAAGAGCCAGAAACATATTTTTTTTCAAAGAGCAAAAGTATTAACAATACTAAAGATAAATTTTATTTACAACAAAATTTTCAATAAAAATTAAATTAAGATAAATTTATAACAAAATGTTGTCATGGCTTTTATCCCAATAACCTAAACTATGTGAAAGCATGAAACTACCCATAAATATATTTTAACGCTAGACACAATCTAAGAATTAAAGTAATCTATAACACGAAGCTTTAAATTTAAAATTACAATTTAAAAAATATTACAATAAATTAATTACTTTTAAATTTAAAAAAAATTTTAGATTACCTATAATTTTAAGCTATTAAACATTATCTACTTAATGTCAACTTGGACATTTTAAACTCGTACCATGAAAGGTTGAAAGGAAATCTTTAAAAAAGCACGCGGTAAAGGAAAGTCTTGAAAAGTGTATTTTACAGATACAGAACCGTAGCGTAACTATAAAACAATACGCGTAACTATGCGCACTAATAATAATATTCATTCGGCTATTCATTATAGAGATAACTTAGATAATATATTATCTAAGTAATAACAAAGATTAAACATAATTGTAAAGAAATGTATTATCTAAGAAAAATATTATCTAAGTAATAACAAAAATATTATCTAAGTAATAACAAAAATTAAACATAACTGTAAAAAAAATTTCAAATAATATAAATTGATAAATACCTATTTAACTAAAATTATTATTTGTAACTATAGGTACGTGGACTGATTTCTTTTAATTGAGCATTTACTAGAATATTATATATCATTAGAAAGCCCTTCAATAAAGTGAAAAATGGTGAAAAAAATATTAAAAACAAACAATTTTAAAAAAAGTTTTTCGTAGCAAATTTCAAGATTTCTTGAAGAAACTGGTTCCAAAGTTTTTTTTTTTTTTTTACTGAAATTGTTATAACTTTGCCAAATCTTAGCCAAATCTTTATACCTTGGTATCAAAAGATAGATGTAAGAGTAGGCTATAAGTTCATATAACTCTATAGATAAAAGGGGTGTCTAAAGGGCCAAAGGGGTATTGGAACACTAACGTAACCTTAAAAATATACAGGTTTTTCACAAGAAAGAGTGTTTTTCTGAAAAAATCTGTTATCTCTACACACAAAAAGTTGTTCTAATTTGCTTCGACTCCATTTCCAAATATTAGTGGTCTATTTTAGATTAAAGGGTTCTTTAAATTGTGTAAAAAGAGAGACATAACTTTACAAATCTTACCACATTACAAGATGCAGGTTGGAGTATCCACCCTAAAAATTGGCCAAAGTTTTAAAACTTATATTTTAAAAAGTTTGAAAATACAAAATATATATATAAATAAACCACGCTCTCCTCCACGGTGATATCCCCTTCTGCTCCCAGCACCCCTTTTAGGAGGATGATAGGCCCAGCTGAATGATTCACCATCATTCCCTCTTAACCGGACTCATCTCAAAAGTGGCCAATTGCTAGTTGGTCCAGGGTGCTAATCTCTATATCAATATATCAAAATAAATAGAATGAACGACTAATAAATCAATAAAAGTATAATAAATGTCAATTGAAGTAAAAATTTAAACACTGCACTGGATTTTACTTATACTGCACTTTGAATTGTTTAATGTATTAATTAGTGTATAAAAATAAAAGTATTATGAATTAAATAATTATTCAGAAACAATTCTAAATCATAAATTTACCAGCAGAAAGTTGTGGAGCATGTTGAGGAGGTTGTGGGACTAAAGTAGAAAAAAAGTTGTAATAGAATCAAATTTTATTTGCAATTTATAAGAAAGGCATACAAATATTCAAAACAACATTTTTACACATACATAAAAGATACATATATTAAAAAATAATAATTTATAAGCCACTTGTATTACCACTTGTAGCAGCTGCTACAACTTGGTTAACACTTGTAACTAAAGGTTAACAAAGTTGTAATAAAAAATAAAAATTGCAATTGCTAAAAAATGCATAAACATATTGAGAAGTAATAATTTGTAAGCATACCATTTATAGCACATGTAGATGGAACTAAGGTTAAAAAAGTGTAATAAAAAATAAATATTGCAAGTGATCTGAAATACATGCATATATGAACAGGTTTTTTAAAAAATACAATAAAAAAAAATTTAAGCTTACCACTCAATATAGTTGAGGATGGAACTAAGGCAAAAAAGTTTTAAGAAAAATTAAATTTGCAATTATTGAGAAATGCAAACAAATTAAAAAATAATAATTGTTAAACTTACCACTTGTTGTAGATGAAGGTAAAAAAAAGTAATAAAAAATAAATATTGCTATTGATAACTTTGAAATTGGTATTAAATCTATTTACAGATTAAAAAGTACTAGTTTTTAAAATAATCGTTGCAACTGATGAAAGGAGTGAAGATTAAAAATAATATAAACAAAACCAAAATATACATGCTTATATTTTTTATTCTATAGTTATTAATAAAAGTTATCATATACAAACTTACCATTGGTAGTCTTACTATTTGGTAGTCATAGTGTAGATTATACTAAAAAGAAAAAAAAATTGTACATTTACCAAAAACACTATAAAATTGTTACAGAGTTACAAAATTAACAATCAAAAAATTGGTTCTGTGTAAGATGCAAAAATTTATTACGTATTATAAAAGTAAAGATATAAAAAATTTATAAGCAACAAGCTAACATTAGAAATGGTTGTTCACTTTGTTTATACATTATTTGTTATATTGGTTGTAGTTATATATAAATTATGCGATTTGTACTTACAGAATCTTAAAAAATCAGCATAATATTTAGCTGGATCTAAACAAGAATTAATAATTCACAGATTTAATTCACAAAACAATAATTTACAGATAAAGAAGTATACAATCCAAAAATGATAAAATAATATCATTTTTTATCATATTATTTATTAACTAAAAAGTCCTTTGTTATGAATAAACCAATGAATTATCTGATTTATGTGGTGTTTTAATAAAATTGTCAACAGATAGTATCAGTTAACAATCTGTTTGAGAGCAAAAGTTTTAATCTGAAACTTTAATCCATTTTTTATGTAACATATAAAAAAAGATTAGGGTTACATTTAAGAATATTTTTTGATTTAAAATAGTTATTAATGATATTGTTATGAAAGAAATATTAAACTTACTGTCTGTTAGAGAGTCTAGTAGGTCCTGATCTATAGGATCCATTATTATAAATCTTATAATAAAAATCAAAATAATACAATATTGGAATTTTTTTGTAGAGTCAACCCCCTAGCCGCTCCTAGCCGTATTTTGCTTAACGTTAAAAACAACAACAAAAAACCGAAATTAGGTACCAAAAGTCCAACACTAGTTTTACTATCTTCTACCAATTATTTTTCGTTGATTTTTGGCAGGTGCAAAGAAAATGCATGTAAAAAATAGGAAAACTAACAAAACAAGCTGAAAAAAGAAATTTTTATGCAATATTGTCAGCAAAATAATCCATAAAAATGTTGGATAACGTAAATGTTGGATAACGTAAATCGCGGTATCCGCGTACCTAGTAAACTAACCTTAAAATATGAATAATTTGTATTATTTCTTTCATAATATTTATATATGCTCTATATACTTTATAGAGCATTTGAAAAACACTCAGCTGAACTACATCCTATTAAAGTTTAAGATGAAGTATGCAAAATCGTCTCCACTAAGATCATTTGGGTACAGATGTACGAAATCTTTTACTTTAGATTCTCGACTGTTTGTTAAGTCCGTATTGTTGTCAGCCGTTGACGTTGATCAGGGGTCAATGTTATAAAACTTTTTACCGGCAGGAATTTTACTCTGGAATTTTTACAGCCGTAAATTTACAGTCGTAAAATTTTTTTCAATTCAATGTTATAAAACTTTTCCGCATCGAATTTTATATCTTTGCTCTGAATTTATTTTTAGAAATCTATTGTCTGAATCAATAATATTCTTGAGATATAAAATGCTGTCAAAAATAAAGTGTTTTTGAGTTAAAGTTTCAAAAACATCATAGTTAAAACTTTAGTTTGTTAAAAAATCTAGTTTTCTCATGGACTTGGACTGTTACGATTCTGATTAAGAATATTTTGTTATTTCAGAATATTTGACAAATCAGCAACAACCACGAGAAGTAAAACTGTTCGAACAGTATTTAAATTGTTTAGAATACAATTTATAATTAAAAAAAAAAAAATTGTTACTTTTACCCAATAACAAATTTTGTGTAATTTTTCTATAAAAATAATATTTTGGCCGTAAATGACCTATAGAAATAGGCCATAAATGGCCTATAGAAATAGATGTTTCTTTAGACTGCCAATTGCGATTCAATAAAATATTCTATAGGCTTTTTGTAGTTAAAATTCTAAGACCATTTGTTTCAAAATTCTATAGAAAATTGTGCTGATTTAAATATAGAAAATTTATACACATTTTACGTTTTTGTTATTGGAAGAAAAAATACAAATTATTGCATAAATAAACTTTTAAAAAAAATAACTTTGAATATTAAATAATTAAAAGATTTATTCAGAAACTCATTACGTAAATTTTTATAACAAAAAATTAAGACACAAATAAACATTTAAATGAAGAACTCTTTTGATGCTTTCTGATTAAAATTTTATTCACAATAAATTTTGACATGCTTCCATACCATAGACAATATGAGAAACTTCGGAAAAAAGTTGACATGATCTCTAAACACTATCTGAATAAGAAGAAAAATTTTTGATGTATTTAATTATCAAAAATATTTGAGCGCATACCATATTCGAGCATCAAAGATAATTTCTAGAACTTTAATAATTCTGTTTATTGTTTAACCACTTGTTTTACTATTTCAAATCTCAAATAACCTCTGCATAAATCTTAAATGGAGAAATTTATTTTGGCTGTCCATTTTGAGTTTGCCTAAAACTAAAGTTGATATGATTTTTAGATCAATAAATAGTCCTAATAAATCTAGCATAAGTGCATTTTTCTAATTAGCTCAATAACAAACGTTGGAAACATTTTAAATTCCTTTTCAAGCACTTTAAATTCCTGATAGTTTTCTTTCAGGTTCCAATGTCTAAAAGAAAATTTGTAAAATTAATCTAAAAAGTTAAATTTTTTTATTAACTTTCATTCATAAAAACTTATATACATATATTTGTATATATATATATTTAAATATATATAAATATAATATATATATATATATATATATATATATATATATATATATATATATATATATATATATATATATATATATATATATATATATATATATATATATATATATATATATATATATATATTTGTATTTAGTTGTATTTAAGTTAAATATAGTTGTATTTAAGTTAAAATTGCGTTTTACGTTAGTTTACGTTAATTCAACGTTGAGTCAACGTAATCTTTTTAACGTAATGTTCTTACGTTAAGCTAAGGTTGACACAACGTTAAAAAAACATTAAAGTATTAACCTAACATTCTAACGTTGAGCTAACAAACGGACAACGTAAAAAAATAAAGAAATATTAACGTACGTAGTTCTGCTAACTATAAAAAAATCTGCCGTAAATAATTATTTATTTTTTCTTCAAAGATGGCGTATTAAAAGATAGAAAATAAGTTTAGTTAAAAGATAATTAGCTAAGTTTGAAGGTTTGCATTGTCTTTTAAAAGACATTCGTGGAATTTTCAAAAATTATTCGAAAATAAACAGCGCACAATTTTTTAAAACTTTGATTTGCTAATAAAAGATTTAATAAATGTTTGATTAAAAAGGTTTATTTTAGGAAAATAAATATATTTTTATAATTATTATAATAACATTTTTATTTTACCCGGCTTGTTGAATAAATTTTTAACAGTATTGTATTTCTGAATAAATATTTTATAGCAGTGTTTATGTACAGTTCTTTTCAGATTAACCATCTGATAATATGAATACGCTAATTTAATATTATTATTATTAGTCGAGTTACGTCATTTTCTAGGCTTTTCTATTTTAAAGTAGTTTCTAGGCTTTTCTATACGCGTTTTTTTTTTTTAATTTTATTTACTAACAACGCGTATTACGGGTTGCTTACTGCTAGTAAATACTAATCTCGATACCATTTAAATGTGTTCAAGTTTTAATTTTTTGAATTTTGATAACACAAATATGATAATTAATGCTAAGATAATTAGACTGAAAATTATTTTCATATTATTTTCAGCGGTGGAGTGAAACATTTGTATTTAGGTAATTATTATTATAATTTTTCTTCTTTTAATCTCATTTTAGGCTTGTGGGTTGTACAGGGTTGTGCAACTATTTTATATTGCTTTAACAGAACCAAAATTTATAGCTAAGTTTAGATTTTTTAATATTAATAAGAAGTAATACGTCGAATATTTTACAAACGAATATCAAGTCGGTTAGAACCTAATGCTCATGCAAATAAAGCTGCCATGGCAACCCTTTGAATCTGATAGTTATTCACTCTGAGCAATATAGTATAATATTTTAAATCAAATTAACTGCCGAAATGAATTTCAATAAACTGGTTGCTTTGCTTATATTTTGACAAACATCGTAAGTATATTATTAATTTGAAACCGGAATGCTAATTTTTCAAATGTCTTCACCAAGCATCTGCTCTGCAAAAAGTGTTTTAAAAAATCAAATTGTAAAGTAAGTAAAAAAAAATGTATTTTAAAATTTTCATTCATAGAAAAGTTAAAAAGTCTTCAACAAAAACTCAAGTTAAGATCATATTGCAAATATTGAAAAGGCCTCTCCATTGGTAAATAAATGTCAAACAATGTGTATAGAGAATGTAAGCAATTGTTAAGCAGTTCTTTTTATATATTTATAGTATATACTATACCTGTAATCTTCTTGTATATTCACATTTTTAGTATTAATTTGTATATTTATTTAGTTATGTTTTAGTTAACATAATCTATTTAACTTAATAATTTAATGTTTTAAAGTTTAACGTTTACATTTTGTTGTTAAAAAATCTGTTATAACTAATTTTTATTTTCAGGTTTTATTTTAAGCTACTTTTTATTTTAGTCTAAATAACCATAGCTAATAAAGGCCAGCAAATGCTCTTACTGTTTTTCCAAAAATTATTTTTAACTTATTTTCTAGCAAAATTATGACTATTAATTATTACTATTTAATAAGACTTTTAACTTTAAGATTTTAATTATAATACAAACAACTGTATGATTTTAATTATGACAACTAGATACAAACATTCAACTATATGAGATTAATGAGCAAGCAAGTTAAAAAACTTACATACAACAAATGTAGTTTAATGAGAGGATAAGAATATTAACTCTTTAAAGTTTAGGAAATATAAGAATATTACCTTTTCTAAATAAGTTTTATCCTGTTTTTTTATTAATAAAAATTAAATTTTCTTATTATTGCTTTTTTTCATTGTATTTAGTTTTCATTATTATCTTGTATTGGTAAAACTACTAAAATTTATGTTAATTTCAGAATAATAAAAATAAATAAACAAAAGAAAAATCAATACTTGAGGGAATGGCGCCAAAGTAATCGAGCTTTAAACAATGTACTTGTAAATGAAGAAATTGACTCACATCACATGTCGACTCTATTAATAATATTAAAAGAGTTGAGAGTTGAATTGATTTCAAAAACATTGTAATTAAGAACTATAGTGACTTTTATTTTGTCTCTGATCATAAATATACTTCTGGAACTGAGAGTTCTATTCTAGACTCTGAGGTTCCTGTGAGTGATGATTATGAAGATCTTCATGACGTACTAGTTACATAACGTACGAGTACTTGTTACAGAGATTGCCAAATGGATTTTAAAACACAGATTAACTAGAAATGCAAGTGACGAATTGTTAACCATTTACACCAGTATAGTTATAATGTTGATTTACCAA